AGGGGGGGGGGAGTTTGCAGGCCAGAGGGCAGACGCAGGGTAATGGCAATCAGTTTGTGGTCCGAGCGGGCTACAGGAATGATGCTAAAGCTAGTGAGGCAGCAAAGCAAGGTTTGCAAGATCCAGGCCATGTCCAATCTGCTACGATGCTTTAGCGTGGGTGCCACCCATGTGACGCCTTTCTCAGTGGGCCACAGCACCCGGTATGCATCCTGTAAGCCCATTTCCGCGAGTGTCGCTCGCATGGTTCTGGCATCCGGTGTATATGGTTGTCGGGGGCCGTCGGGGGGGGGGGTCAACAGTAGTGTTAAAGTCACCAATAAGTACAAATTTGTCCACCCATTATATGCATTGTATGTCGAACACCTGCACGACATGCTGAGAGCGGATGCGGAGTTGGAGGGCTTGAAACTCCCCGGGGGTAGACAACTTAAATCATCGGCATTCGCGGACGACACCAGAGCGGTTACTGCCACCACGCATGCTAGTGTCCGGGCGCTGCGGAAGCAGGTGGGTACCTTTGAAAAGTTTGCAGGGGCACGCATGAATTGGCATAAAACGGTGGCGCTGCTGCCAGACCTCACTGCAGCTCCCCTGTTCGAGGGAATGCACGTCCAGCCGATGACAGAAGCAGCGTCCAACCTCGGCATCGAGCTCCCTCAGACCCTCACCGATGGCTCCCAGATGGAGCAGTTGATGCGGAAAGCAGCCACGCGACTCGCACTCTGCGGGAAGACATTGGATGCTGGGATCTTCGGCCGGGTGCTTCTCGCGAATACAGCGGCGTCTGCGATGCTCTGGTATGCAGCCCCGGTTTCAACTCCATCCCCGGTCCCCCAACGGGAATACCGAATGGCTCTCTCCAAGTTTGTTTGGAAAAACGACCCGTTTGCACCCCATGCAATCCACCGGGTCGCTTGGCGCAAGCTCATCCAACCCAAAGTAGGTTGGGGACTGGGCCTGATTGACCCGGCCACACAGATTCAGGTGCTGCAGTTGCGGACGGTTATTTGGCTCCTTTTGGAGCGTGATGACGCCCCCTGGACGATCCTGACCTTGCAGACCATGGCTGAAGCAGCTCGACTGCACCCGGCGGATATGGAGCTGGCCCTCATGCAACCAGCCATCCTCACGGAGCTTAAGAGAGGCACCCTGTGGTCCCCGTTCCTGCAGGCATGGCGGAGCCTGGCCCCGCTGGAGCTCAACCTGCCGTCGTCCATGGACCAAATCCTCCAGCAACCTTTGTTCGACAACCCTCGAATCCGGGATAATGGCGAGCCGTTCCCATGGGCAGGCCCCAGAGGAGCCTTTGGCAAAGCATGGCTTAAAGTGGGAGTGGCGCGAATAGCGGACCTCTGGGACCTGCAGACCGATGACTGGCAGCCAGAGACGGCCCTCCTGCAACAGCTGGCGGGCCAGACGCACAAAAGGGAACGGCTGCACCAAATCCAGTGGGCGATCCCGGAGGAGTGGCTGGGCGCTCTCAGAACAAGGCAGAGGTTTGACAAGGAGTGGGTGGCGCTGAGATTTGACGACCAGACCTGCCTGCTGTTCCAGGGCATGGCACGAGTCGGGGAGTTGTGGCTGATCGCTGAAGCCTGGGAGAACCCTCCCTCCGAAGCTGCACTTGGGCGTCCCCTGGTTCGCTCCCCGAGACGGGATGGTTGGGTGCCCCGGGACCTCGTCCGATCGGTCTCGGTGGTCACGGACAGGAAAGGCCTTCCCCGCGTTACCCACCAGGCCTTCCGCCCGAAGAAGCGCCCAGCGCAGCTGGCGGTTGACCCCGCCATGTGGCATTGGAGGAAGCAAGGCCTCCAACACCACGGCCTCCCGCTGCACCAAGTGTCCACCAAGGCCATCTACCGATCACTGACCACCCCTTACCGGATAGACCAGGAACTCCAGTGCCGTTGGGCCTGCAAGGGATGGCTCACAGGGGCCTCTCCCCCACAATGGTCCCTAGCTGGGTGGAAGTCCATGGCCAGCTTCCTCCAATCGCGCCCCAATGTGAAGCATGCAGGGCTTCTGTGGTTGAACATCCATCTGGCACTTCCGACAAACCAGTGGCTCGCGAAGCGGTCCTCCTTTTCAGATGGAAGGTGGCCACACTGTGATGCAGAGTGCGAAGATGCCCCTCATGTGTGGAGCGGGTGCCCCCCACAGCAGCAATTTTGGACATGGTGGAGACAGGAGGTGGGGGGGGACATTGAGACGATGACTCCGGAGGAGTGGGCGGATTGCTTACTCATTGGCCCAGCCCTCAGAGACCCTCCCATTCGAGGTCAGCGGGCGTACGCCATCGAGATCATTAGGGCTGCATTCCTGGCAGCGGTCTGGGCCCTCCGAACGCAGCTTATTTTTCAACAACGTCCTCCTACGTTTGCGGCCCTCCGAGCGATGTGCCTCGCTTCTCCGAACGGCCATTGCGGCAGATAGCAAAAGGAAGGCAGCCGCGGCATGGCCACTTCTCCAGCAAACTTGGGCGCCATACTCCAAGCTGGTCCACATCCGGGAGCAGCCGGGATCATGGGAGTGGGCCTTAAATGTCGGGACCAGTCGCTCCGAGGCATCATCCTGAGAACTAGCACGCAGCGAAGGCACATGAATCCAACCCCTACGCGGGTGCATGGCTACAACGCCGGGTCACGGTATAGGGAGCGGAATTTGGGAGGAGATCTCGGACGAGATCGTTGGTAGAGGTAATAGGTCTGTGTGAGGTGGGTGAGAGGATGGGCAGCTCGCTCGGTTTTAGGCTTGATAAGGGGACCTGGGCGAACCCTGTGGGAGGATCAATAGGCAAGACATAGTAGGGTAGCACAAATTGATAGTAGTGGGCACAAGGCCTTGGTAGGGGAAACTGTACGATAGCGGCCCTGTCGGAATGTAGTGGGAGCATGGTTAGATAGACACAGTACTGAAGTACGAACAGTTGGTAGAGGCCACGTGGCCCCGAAATGGAAAATAGTGCGGGCAGGTGCTCGCATGGATAGTCAGATGCGATATGATAGTACGAACAGTTGGAGATGACTGATTTGGTATCGGAAACCGCTTCCCCGTCTGGGCACAAGCAGAAGGACTGCGGCGTCACAGGGCGGGTAGGCGCTTAGAATGATTAGGATCAATAGGGGAGATCGCTGATTTGGTATCCTTTCGGGGGGAGTGAGGGGCTTGCCTCTGGACATCGCAGGTTTCGCCTCCCCTGATAACCCCCTCTGTGACTGGGTGCTAACACTTCCCGACAGAGGGGGCCTCAGGGCCGGCCAACCTGAATATGTGCCCTTAGGCAAGCCCCGGCGCAGGCACCACTGCCCTGGGGCAGTGGTGATACCCCCCGTTCCCCTTCTTACTGCTATTTCTCATTTGTACTCTGGGACGCTGGGCCCGATTCCCAGCAGGTGCTGCTCCCCACCAATAGATTGGAGCCTCCCCCCAGGTGCTGCCGATAACTGCTCTTACCAGTATCGTCAGCACTATAGGGGGTTGTTTGTAAAAATAAAAAATAAAAAAAAATAAAAAAATAAAAAAAATTGTCCACCTCTGGCAGGTTGACCGCCAGTCCTTGCCAGAATAGGGATTTCTCCCGTAATTGTGTAGGGCCGTATACAGTGGCCACGAGGACCCTTTCTGTGGCTACCTCCAAATATACCCATGCCCACCTACCCTGGGTATCCACAAAGAAGTCTAAGACCCGTCCCTTAAAGTACTATGTACCCAAAATGGTCACTCCCCCTGATGTACCTATCGCCGGTGCCCAGACCTGGAAGATTGCCTGGATTGGGGGAAAGACCCCTTCTGTTAACCTTTTCTCTGCTAATTTGGTCTCTTGCAGACATAGAATTTGCATTCGCTCTCTTTCTATCAAGCCTTTTATTTCCTTTCATTTTGCCCGGAAGGAGAGGGGGCCCATGCCCCTGATGTTAAGTGACGCTACTTTGAGTTGCAGGGAGGGTTCCATTCATCTACAGTCTTCGAACTCATCTCAGTTAGTTGCAGTCGATCAATACCCAAGTATAGACTTCATACTCATCTCAGTTGATTGCAATCGGTGAATACCCAAGTGTGGTCATTACTTCCATCATTACTTCCATCAGTCCTCTTTTGCTAGAAAGCACCTTTTATCACATTCCCCACAATCCCCAATTTTCACAATCCCCAGTTCCAGTTTGTACAATCCCCAGTTCACCCACATGAGATCTACTTCCTTACAACCCTTTTACTGCCTCCTTCCCACTCAAATGTAGCTCTGCATTTCAGATGAGATCCTGTACTACCAGCTTCTATCCGCAGACGTGAATTCACTGCAAGCACCATATCTCACCCACAAGCCTGTATTCAATATAAGCACACTCCTTCCATTCGACCGCTAGTGTGGTCTTTCCTTGTATTTGCAAGGCCCCACATATTTCACCTAATTATCACCACCAATCTCTGCAGTTTGTAAGCTATATTTACATACGTAGGAACCTACTTTTTAACTATTATACAGAAAGGTTGCTACCAAGTTGCTACCCTTGTCTCTACTATTGTAACTATATCACTTTTATCACTTACCAAAGACTTTTCCTAGTTCTTTGTAGTCTTACGGTGCAGTCGATGAGTCGAGGCGCATCCATGATTCAGGATGGCCGGAATGCGGCCCGCCTGTCTTCCTCTGTGCCGAGGGCCTCGCAGCCACATTTCCGGATCTGTGATAAACGTCCGATGCGTGAATCTTTTGTTCTCCGGTAATATTTTATTTAGCAGTGCCAGAATGGCTGTCGTGTCGTCTTGTACTGTGGAGTTCTCCTCTGGATCCGGCAGCTCCAGGATTAGTGGTTCCAGGTCTGTCCAGCTGAAATGAGGGTCTTCCTCGTGATTCGCCTGCGGCCGGGGCTCCACCCTGAGCATGAAGCAGTATGCTCCCAGGCTTTCTGGTTTCAAACGCAGGCGAATCGCCGAGACTCCTTTCATTGGGAGCACTTCATAGGCCCCACCCAGCCATCTCTCCGCTGTCACGATCGGTTTCTGCATCGAAGGATGCCCTGCAAACCTGATGAATGGGATCTTCGGCGGCCTGTCCGTCGCTTGTCCTCGACAGAGCAGAATTTGCAGTTTTATCTCTGTTAGGCGAAGGACCAGGGGGACGACTCTGAGACGTCCCTGCTCTCGGAGTTCATCAAATTTCCCATCCAACAGCAGCATTCTGCGTACGTGGATATCATCGAAAGCTCTTTGCTCCTCTTCTCGTTGGATCGGTCCCGGATTCTCTTGCTCTTCCTCCAACCTCTGGTACTCCATTAGTTCCATGTCGTCCACCTGTATTTGAGCCACCGCATTTGATTCAACCCGAGGTCCTGGAGGAGGCAGGGTCGGGGAGAGAGAGAGAGAAGCCGAGCTGCTTAGGACCAAAGGGTTTGCCCACGCTGTGCCTGGTTTCGGCACCGTCTCGCCAAGCGCAGGGCCTGCTGTGCCGGGTTCCGACTCCACCTCGCCCAGTGGAGTAGGTAAGAGGGGCTTATCCATCACCGCTTTTGGACGATTGGCTGCCTCCGCTTCCAAAGCACTTGTTTCCTGACCGGTTTCAGCGTCCGATGCTGCTCGCATCTTCTTCCGGAGTCTAGCTCGCTTCTTTCCAATCAGCCCGCGTTGTGGTTCCTCCATACTCACATCCCAGATTTCTTCCATCTCCCGCTTAGCGTCTCGCGTGATTCTGTCCTGACTTCGCAGGTCGAAGGGTTAACTCGATAGAAGTTTCACCGAGCGCAGGTCTTCCAGCCGCAGGTCTTCCAGTCCCAGTCCTGTGAGGGTTGCTGCTTGCGGGTTGTCTTCGGCTTCCTTGCCGCGGAGTTTATCCCTCTGTCCTGCTGGAGTAGCTCCTTGGCTTCGGAGTGCTTCAAGGCGGTCACCGCCCTCCAAGCCCTTATTCTTTTGTCGGCTGTGCTCAGGGGTTCCTTGTGCAGATTCCGAGGTTTCCTGTGCAATCAGACTCGCTTTCAAACACACTTTTCACACATGTAAACAGTACGCAGCACACTGGCGACATGCGCCCACTCACAACTCAGAGATATGGCTTCAGATACGAGTTCACTCTCAAA